TGCATTTGCAAATCTGTCTCATTCTGTATACATTTGGCAACAGCTGAAGCTGTTTTTCTGGTGGTCTCTGATGCTATTAATGATTCTGAGCCACTGGAATTCAGGTCACAATCTCTCTGCTGAAACAGTTTCTGGAAGAGGCAGATTTGCACCTTCCCATTGTCTTCTGTCACAGTTGACATTTTTTCCAGCTGCTGCTTGGAGGAATTGATGCCCATTTTGGTAGAATAGTATTGCTTCAGTGAACTCCTCCTCATTGTCTTCTCAATCTCTCTTCTGGCATGTGAAGAGGAGATAAAAAAAAGAGATCTGATTCAGAAAACACTTATCATGGAATATTCTTCAACTTATTGGAGTTTAGGAAATGCAGACCAATGATTTGGTTCAGGTACCACATTAGGCGATGTATTATTTTTTTTTTAATACCATGTGTTCATTAAACCGTAATCTTTTGGGGTTCATCTAGCATGCTAAGTTCAAACTAATAGTTAACTTTGGTTTCATATTCCAGGGAATGCTTATCAAAAATAATGGAGAGTTTAGGTTTGGATGACTCATTTCATCACAGGAAGGCCATTTATATGAGACAATTGTAAGTTGGTGGTACATGAATTAGTCAGCCTAAGCCACTTACCATGACATGTAAATCCATCCATGATAAAGCCAGGCCCAACATCAAGGATGAAATGATGCTGGATGAAGTATTGATTATCCTTCTCCTTCATTTCTGATGTCTCTTGTAGCGTACAGTACCTTGGTAAGCCCATTTGTAAGCTTAACAGATGGTAGCAGTATGTAGTCCTTAATTTTACAACCACAATTGAGTGCAATGTTTCTGCTGCTAAGCAAAACATTTAAGTGAGTTTTGTCCATTTTACGACCCTTCTTGCCACAATTGTTAAGTGAATGACTGCAGTTGTTAAGTTAGTAGCACATGAAATGAAAATATTTGTGCACAAAGATGGATGGAACTAACAGCTTCACACGAGTATAATTCTGGCTTCCCCATTGACTTTGCTTGTCAGAAGGTTTTAAAAAGTGATCACATGACCCCGGAACACCGCAGCCATCTTAAATATGAACTAGTTGCCAAGCATCCAGATTTTATCACATGACCATGGGGGGGTGTGCTGCAACGGTCTTAAGTCTTTTTTTCAGTGCCGTTGTAACCTTGAATGGACACTAAACAAATGGTTGTAAGTTGAGGACTACCTATAATATGGATAGACATCTCTTTTCCACTTTTAAATATATCTGAGCAACATGTTAGTTGCTTTCTGAATCAAAGCACTGAGTGCAGCTGCAGTTATTTACTGGTTTCTTATTTCCTCCTAGACCAGGGGTCTTCAAACTTGGCCCTTTTATGACTTGTGGACTTCAACTCCCAGAATTCCTCAGCCAGGGTGGCTGAGGAATTCTGGGAGTTGAAGTCCACAAGTCATAAAAGGGCCAAGTTTGAAGACCCCTGTCCTAGACACTTTTGGTGTGTGACATTTCTTTCTACTGCCCACCATAAAAGTGAAAAGAAAAAAGGGAGACTGGCCAGTAGAGATAGATTACTAGCCCCACACCCAAATTTCCTCCTTTTTTTATTTGGTCATAGGACCAGCTATGGTGGAGTTCTGATAAATGGAGATGACCTAATTTATTACAGACCTTTTGTTGGGGAACTGATAACTGGCTTGTCTTGCTTCATTGGTCAGGCCTGTTCTTTTTCCTGGTATTGTAGAATTTGGATTTGAGATGGGAGTGTTATTATGTTACTCCCCTATTTACTCAGAGGATAAGTTAAAAATGAACAATCAAACCTTTTGTTTTATGAAACCGGTGTAAAATGACATAAGTTGTTTCTCCTTAAAGAGATACAACAACCAAAGTTATGCTTAATTATAGAATGTCAAAAGGGGCTGCGGGTTTCTTTTCTTTGTTTTAATTATAGTATTATCTCCTCCTTTCTTGCTTTCAACTCTGGCCAGCCACCAGCTGCCTTTCTTTTTCTTTTTCCAACTCTGAGCTCCATGTTTACCTTCTTAAAGAAATGGCCAGATAACATTTATTCAAGCCTTTATTCAAAGGCAAAATAAAATAGTCTTTCATCACAGAAGGAAGTAAAACTATTCAGTTAAAGTATAATCCCAAGAGATTTTATTCCTTGATTTAAGTAACAACAACATCCAAATTAGTCAAGTCAAGACACGCACCTCTTGCTAACTGGTGAGATTAATTTAAATTGACAAAAAAAAAAAAGCTACAGGTAAAAAGGAATATCGAATAAAGTGAGAAGAAAATAGATTTGGTAATAACATTTGCCCAGACTCCAAAACAGCCCCATTTTAATTCAGATCACAGACAAATCCACCAACAATAATTTAACTTTGCAGCCCGTGTCTGAGGAAACATCCAAGTGTATAATGTCCTACAAAAGACCAGAAGGATCATACATTAAAAAGATGCAGGGCTTTAATTGCCCAGTTGAAGCTAGTAGCCATTAATTTAGACCCCTCTGGCCTTAAATGTAGATTTTTGTCCATTGAACTTGTGACCTCACTGATTCTAGGCTCCTCCTGCTCCTGCATTTCCCCATTTTCTCTCCCTACTAATCAGAAGATATTCAAAAGCTTTTGCTACATATCCTACACAAGGCAGTATCCTGTTTGATCAGAACAAAAAAAAAAACATGGAAATTTATTTTAAACCTTTTCTTCTGTTTAGAAACCCAGAAATATATTAGATTTTAATTCCCGTCATCCTCAGCACATCTGAACATTTATTTTCATAATTTTTATTTGGTATATTTGCCTTGGCTAGAGATAATGAGAGGGATAGTTCCATAGAATTGAAAACATTTGGTTAAGAAAAATTGCCTTCAGTAAGTTAGTAGGAGTAAATTGTAATCAAAGCAGGTTTTTAGAACCTGAGTGGATTATTGTTCTAGCACTGCATAAAAATATGATCTTTGCTCAGCCTGGATACAAACAGGACTTAAAACAATCAAGCAGATCTAAAACAGATCACATATTCAGAGTATTTCAAAGATTTCAGTATGTTGCTTCTGTCACTTCCTTTATATCCTGAAACCAATCTAGGCAGTCTTGGATCAGATTCAAACATTATACCCAGCCGTAATATGACTTGGTCCTTTTTGGTTTTGTATTTTATTTGTAAGAGTAAAATATTAAAAACACCCTACAATATCAACAGAAAAAAATGGTTGAACAGTGAAGAAAAACCTGGCATATTAGTGATGTAAATGTAAAGAAACTAAACATACTTTTAAAAAAGAAAAAAATATTAATTAAGAAGAGTGAGAAAGATCCATGTAATGTATGTTTGTTTTTGCCTGAACATAATATGTGGACTGTAGTTTAACAGTAGTATGCAAACCAGGTTCCTATGGGCTATTCAACAAACTTTGGTTTAAAACCTTGTGATTTAGTCTATATCTGTTTTTCTAGTTGCTTTGCCAATCTCAAGAATAACAGTAAAGAGTTTGAGTACATATCTGGAGACAGGATTATAACAAAGAAGAATTCAGCAATAATGTAGGTTCAGCTCTGTCCTTTGTAAATGAATTTTATTATATCCTGGGGTTGTTTTTTTAAAAAAAAAAACAACTCTCCAGAAATTGTTTATTTATATAAAGTGACTATAAAAGCTAATCCAAGACACCTTGTTGCCCTAGGCCAGGGGTAGGCAAAGATATTCTTCACCTTTTCCAGATCTGCAAGGTGACTAGGCTAGCAGTGATTTCAGTCATATCTTCATAGAGGACAATCTGCATCATTTAATCAGTCAATTTAAATTATGTGCCTACAACAATAACAACACTTTACCTAGAACAAAAAAACTTAATAAGATCTAAAGCTGGCAGGTATTATTCAGTATTGTACATTAAGGAATACACCATTAGATATTGTTCAGCTTTTTTCCTGAGGAAAATCTGTTTTCTTTGTTTATGTAAGGATAATGTCGTTCTGGCTTTTGGTGACAATGATCCTTGTACTAACTGAAAGAATTTATAGCTTTACATGCTCCTAATGAAAAGCAATTTATCTTCATTTTAGACCCTTTTATAAAAAGCAAGGATTAAAGTATCATATATATTCAATTTTATAATGCAAGATATTAGACATCTCTTGACCTATATTGGATCCAGTTGGAATATATAAAACAGATACATTAAGAGTTCTAAAGATGGCATAAAGGAAGAAGTTCAGCCAGATGTTACAGCTGACATGAAATGTAGGGTTGCTTACAATGCTGAGTTAGCACTGGGGTGAAAAGTTCTTTCTAACCCCACTGTGAACTGGGGACATCTGTATCTAAACTTTGTAAAGAATTCTTCTAAACTAACTGGAGGGAGTTCTATAGTCCTTATTAGCTGTAATTCAGCCTACTAGATTTAACAGACCGGTCCCTACAATTAGAGTGTAAGGATTCTGGGTCCTTGATGGGCCAACTTTAAAATATGACATATCAATAGTAATGATTGCCCCTTATTGTGTGGCTGATCAAGGCAACTAAATATTCTGCAGTTATTAACTGAAAATTAGTCAAATTTGGGTTTTTTTTATCTTCCAAAATGATTGCTTCTAGGGTGCCCCTACTAATTAACCCCTAAATCTGATGACAGTAATATCTATCCTTTGATTTCCTCTACCTTGAAAAAAATCCAAGATTTGTGATAGAATAGCTTATTCACCCTAGCAGCTTTATGAACTGACTGCTGTGTTTTGATTTACAGGTTTACTTTTCTTTTAATTCAGTAATAAATCGACATATTTCACAGATGAAAGTAAATGACAATCAAATTCAATATGTTTAACACATGAAATGAAAATATTTGTGCACAAAGATGGATGGAACTAATAGCTTCACAGGAGTATAATTCTTAGTCTTGAAGTAAAAATTGAATAAAAGAATAGCAGTTGGAATTAAGTGACATAATTAGTTTTATCCAGGCTATAAACTATGCTTTGGTTTGTTTTTTTCATTCACAGGAAGAAAGCATCGTAAAGGAGATAGACATCAGTCACCATGTCAAAGAAGGTTTCGAAAAAGCAGATCCCTCTCAATTTGAGCTCCTGAAAGTACTGGGACAAGGCTCCTATGGAAAGGTAATGTTTTACGTGTAATTTAGCTTTCTCCACTCTGGCGTCTTCAAAGTTGGTGGATCAGTTCCCAGAATGCATTGCGTTTAGGTTGGAATACTGAAAGTTGATGCTGTTGTGAAGCCTTCTTGTATTCATAATATCCAGATAATCAGACCACCATACCATACACAGAGTACATATTCATTCACTCATTTCAGACATAGGAACCACTTCTTCATTAGTGTGAGATGCATCACCTAACTCACATATAGGGTCACATCTTCAGCTTTCTTTTTCTCCCCTCTTCTGACTCCTCATCTCTTCCTCTGTACCTAGTTTTCTTTATCCTCCTTCATGTTGCCATAAACATAGAAACAGCCATGCTTCTTTTTCAAGGATCAGCCTAATATTTACTCAAGGATAGGGCCTTTAAAGCTATGGAGAGTGAAAAAACTTCCAGGTCTTCTGGTACCTTCTATTATTCTACCTTGACTCAGACCCTCAGTTTTAGAACAATAGCTTTACTTTGCCATTGGATTGCGAAGTCGTGTCCGACCCATCGCGACCCCATGGACAACGTTCCTCCAGATCTTCCTGTCCTCTACCATCTTCTGGAGTCCATTTAAGTTCACGCCTACTGCTTCAGTGACTCCATCCAGCCACCTCATTCTCTGTCGTCCCATTCTTCTATTGCCCTCAATCTTTCCCAGCATTAGGCCCTTCTCCAATGACTCTTTCCTTCTCATTAGGTGGCCAAAGTATTTGAGTTTCAACTTCAGGATCTGGCCTTCTAAAGAGCAGTCAGGGTTGATCTCCTCTAGGACTGACTGGTTTGATCGCCTTGCAGTCCAGGGGACTCGCTGGAGTCTTCTCCAGCATCATAGTTCAAAGGCCTCAATTCTTTGTCGCTCAGCCTTTCTTATGGTCCAACTTTCACATCCATACATTGCAACTGGGAAAACCATGGCCTTGACTATACGCACTTTTGTTGGCAGAGTGATGTCTCTGCTTTTTAGTATGCTGTCTAGATTTGCCATAGCTTTCCTCCCCAGGAGCAAGCGTCTTTTAATTTCTTGGCTGCAGTCCCCATCTGAGGTGATCTTGGAGCCCAGGAAAATAAAATCTGTCACTACCTCCATTTCTTCCCCATCTATTTGCCAGGAATTGAGAGGGCCATTGGATTATATGAACCAAAATAAAGGCACCCCAGATGCCACAGTTTTCCCCACCTTCAGTTTAGCTCAGTTGTTGGGGAGAACTTTGATTCCTCAAAGAACATTTTCAGGGAATATAATAATTTGAAATAGGGAAGTATGGAAGATAAAGCATAGGAGCCATTTTTGGCTAAGATTTGTTTTATATTAGATGCAACCTACAAAATTGGAAGGAAAGCATGACTCCTGAAATCTGCCATTTGTAGCTAAATCTATCACTCTTTTGAAGGGAAATTGAGAAAGTACTCTTCATCTAGCCTGAATCCATAAAACTTTTCAATATTTCAGTGTTCCACATTTACCAAGCTAATATATATTTAAATATATCTGCATTCAAGGCAACCAGTTTTTCAGCTAATGGAATTATATGAAATTATTTTGCAGTTGATAGCTTTTGATAGGAATGAGCAGATAATAATGTTTTGTATTAGTTTTCATTTGTTGTATTTTTTATAGGTTTGATATTTATTTTCATATCTTCTTAAACATTATTTAATGTTTGACACACGTAGTTTGAGAGGAGTACAATCAAATGCAATATTACAGGGAACAGCTGACAACTGACTATATCTTTTTAAATATAAAGTTACATTTATAGCTATTCTTTCTAGAGCTATTCTTTCTAGTTATAGATAGGCAAAACTATGTAAAATCAAATGACGTGTATTGATTTTTTTCTCCCATTCTTCTTCTCCCACTCATGAACATAATATAATTCACTTTTAAAAGGTTTGTTGCTTATTTAAAAAAATGCAGATATTTTAACTTGTGAAGAATTCCTAGATAATCTTAAAGGTTGAATACCTTTAAAAATCAGTTATTGGTATTTTAAAAATTGAACAACCTTTGAGGAATTATTAAAAATAAGATGACCAGTCTCTCTATGAAAATGAACTATTCTAGAACTTTATTTGACAGCTTAGTATATATTTTATTATCCTCTGAACCAGTGATGGCGAACCTTTTAGAGACTGAGTGCCCAAACTGCAACCCAAAACCCACTTATTTATCGCAAAGTGCCAGGGCTGCATCAGCATTATGGTGCCCTCAGGGGTGTGTGGCCCACTGGGTGGGCGTGGCTGAAGTCACGGCAGACTGGATGAGCATGGCCGGGGCCAGTCCCTTGCCATCTCTGGGGCATCCCCGTGGGGCCAACGCCGCTTGCTCACTCACTTCCTGCCCTGTCGCTTCCAAACGCCACATGCTCGCTACTCTGGTGAATTCTGCTGGGGCAATGGCACGCGTGCCCACAGAGAGGGCTCTGAGTGCCGCCTCTGCCATGCGTGCCATAGGTTCACCACCACTGCTCTGAACTATTGCAATATAGTTGCAATCTTAAACCTAGTGATTTGGGTTTCTGAGCATGTTAGGTTGGAAATTAAACTTGCAAAGGAAAGGGAGTTCCTCCTAACTGAGATGCTTGAAAGCAAGGAAGGTAAATTCCTATGAACGGTGATTTTTTAAAAATATGTAATCCAATGCAGACCTTTCTCTCTGAGAGTGCTTAGTGATATAATATGTAGCTAACTTTGTTAGTTCCAGCTGTGCCTCTTTTAGTGGATATTGCTAGAGAGAAATGTGTTACTGAGAAAGAGGTTGGCTTTCCCTAAAACTGCTTTGAAATATTTAATTTCAAAATATTAAACGTGTTTGTCAAGAAGATATACTTTGCAGTTTTCAGGTATTTGTTGTTGCAAACATCTGAACTAGGATCTGAGGGTTTACAATGGTCTGAATATTAGATGGTGTATGTGCATTTTTACTTTAGAGAGGGGGAATCAGTACATTTGTTTTTGTTCCTATCATTTTGTAATAAAAAATGAATATCAAACTCCATAAAATTAGACTAAGGAATATTTTGTATCCTGTTTTTCACTTGGAGCTCTTTGTTCTACTATTCAGCATATAAAAACCATTTCTTGGAGAAAAATCAGGATCTTATCACCCAGAGCTGCCCTCTGAGGGAGATGAGCAGTTAAGAAATACGAAATATCAATAAATAAACCTTTTCTCCTTTGATTTCCTTTCACCACTAAAATCCTTATTTCACTATCTGTGTGGGCAAATGTATATATCTGAAGCACAAAACTGATATAGAAACCTGTTTATATTAAAGAACGCTTGGGTAAAACTTTGGGTTTTCAATTAACCCTTATTTATTTTCTGAGTATTAGTCCCTGAGCTTCTACTGATAATGCATTAGTCTTTAAAATTGTTACTACCGGTAGCTCCCAAAATCTGACATATGCTCTGTGTTTGTCTTCTAAGCCCACTTCTAGTGTCCATCATAATTTATATATCTTACACATCTTACATTTAAATTTCCTATGAAGCTTTCTTCTATTCCACTCCTCTAACCTTGCTGTCAGTTGTGAGTTTGGCCATTTTTGCAGGGGTTGTGAGGGCAACTGTTTCTATGGTGTGGTGTTTTGAGATCAAGTCCTTTTTATCTTTGTTCTGTATTTCTTGTTTTGATTATACTTTTCTGGTGGATTTATTTTTTTTTATAAGCCACAAAGAACTGTTAAGGAAATAGGGCTGACATAGATTTTCTAAATAAATACTGAAGAATAGGGAAATGCATACTTACTTGATTACATACCTAGCAGGATCACTTTACATTAAACAAATGCAATAAGTACCATTATTTTAAACATACTTCAGTAAAGTGCCCTTTGGATTTTCCCCCTCACAGGTATTTCTGGTGAGAAAAATCAAAGGATCTGATACTGGGCAGCTCTATGCAATGAAGGTACTTAAGAAAGCAACTCTAAAAGGTAAGAAAAAAAAAACAGAGTCAGTGTACAATAACTCTTTTGATTAATATCATGTTTCCCCAAAAATAAGACAGCATCTTTTTTTTTTTTTGCCTCCAAAAGAGACACCAGGTCTTATTTTCGGGAGATGTCTTTTTCACAGTCTCACCTTGCGGCAGCAGCACCGACAGCCCCATCCACCCCACTTCTTCTGCAGCCGCTCACTGCCACTTGTGCACATCGCGCCCGGCCTCCATTTCACTGTCAGGGGCCTACAGGAAATCCCTCTGCAGCTGAGAATGGAGCTCCGCATTGATGCGTGCAATCTCCAGGGCGGCGCTGCGCGCATCAATCCAGAGCTCAGTTCCCAGCTGCAGAGGCCTTTCCTGAAGGCCTCTGACAGCAAAATGGAGACTGGGGATGCCATGCACATCAATCCAGAGCTCCATTCTCAGCTGTCGAGGCATTTCCTAAAGGCCTCTGGAGGCAAAATGGAGACCAGGGACAACGCACATGTGCAAGTGGTGGTGAGCGGCCGCAGAAGTGGGCCGAAAAGATAGGCAGGTGTTAGGGCATGGAAGGCCTGGCTGCAATAGTGAGGGGGTGCAGGGTGCATGGGGTAGCTCCATCCCCCACCCTGCCCTAGCTTGATTTTTAGGCGTGCACCTTGCCTCCAAACTAGGGCTTATTTTGGGGGTATGGCTTATTTTCGGGGAAACAAGGTAGACAAGTGATTTTGTTGTATGTATGTATGTATATATATCAGGTTGTATGTATGTATATCAGTCTCACAACAAAGAATTGCTCTGAGTATTATGTTTGGCTCTTATATTCTGACCCAACAAAGGTAGCTATGGATAAAAAGGAAATTAGCCTAAAATCCAGCTCCTTTTATATACAACCGAGGGAAATGGAACTTGATCTTTCTTGATTTGTCTTTGAAAAATAAGGAAGAGTGAGTTAATGCTGCAGGGTGTTTAGGGCAACATAGGAATGTAGGATCCTAGAGAAGAAATTTCATACAAATACATCTTGTGCTCCAATTGCAGCCATTTCTAGATTGAGAGGCACTGCTTGCAGTCATTCATACACGTGGATGCTTCTTTTAGTCCAGAATGAATCGGCAGGTGCAGCAGGTATACCCTTGTAACACTGCTCCTACATGAACTGCACTCAAGGTGTTGGTTGACACTTTTAAAACCCTACATGGCATGGAACCAGTTGCTTGTGAGTGGTCTTGTGGTTTCTGACTGATTGATAGTTTCAGATCTGGCAGAGTGAACATAATCCAGGTGCCATCTATAAAACAATGGTGGGTTCCTGGAAGCATGCCTTCTTTGTTATGCTGCTTACCCTATAGAACAGGCTCCCCACTAAATATGGACAGCTCCTGCTCTTTTGACCTCATGCAAGGCCATGAAATGTGGCTCCCCCCCCAGATACTGGGATTTGGGAAGTTGACATGGGAACTCCAACACGAATGTATGTGTCAAATGGTTCTTATGTTTACATTGAGCCTTAATGCAACTTTAGTCAGTTATTGTTTTAATTAAATTCTATTTTTATTTGTTTGCTGCCTAGACTTCCTTGACAAATGGGAAGCAATATTTATTGGATTATTTATTGCATAAGTAAGTAAAAATAAAGGCAGTTGCAAATCAGAAAAAAGAAACCCTCCAAGTAAAAGTAATTCGGTAGTGAAACTTAGAAAACTTTCTTTGTTATAAATATATTCAAGAAGAAGCTAGATAGCTTTCTACCAGGAACATTATGAGCTAATATAAAGCAGAGAAATTCTGCCCTATTTTTGATGGGTTCTCATTCAGTTTGATGAAAAATAATGCACTTTAGAAATCTTTCAGAGAAGAGAATGGGCGATATAAGATGTTCTTGCACTCTCCTATTTAGTGTGTTGATTTATACGCTATTTCAATCACACAATCCTTTGCCTAATGGATGCAATTGGGCCAGTGTCAAATCCATAAAATGTGAGAAATAAGAGCTTGGACTAACGTCAATATTACACTAGAATACTCATAAGTGGTACATCAAGCTTTACATTTCTAAGAATACTGTTTTTTTCTGCTTCTGCTGTGATTCCACTTCACCACAAAATGCCTTGCTACCTTTTCTTACGCTAAAACTATTCTATCCCATTTCAGATTTTTAGATATGGAAGTTGACTTTAGAGACATGAGCTATTTTAATGATCCTCTTTATAATTTTTATTTATGATTTAAGCATTGTTTGATATTTGTAATAGTTTTTGAATTATTTTTTACAAATCACTGAAGCTTACACACGTATATTTTTTTAAAAAAAACAACTTCAGTGCAGTTCAGAAAACACACCCCATCTGCCAATTTCCCCACTCCCATTATTGTTCTGTGATTGCAGTGGAATGTTTCAGATAGTACTCCTATCCGAATAAATAAATCTCCTAGAAGTAAGTGGAACATCTCTGGATATATATGCTAGGAATGTGTTACAAGACTTGCAAAGTGTATTGTCTTCCAATCTAGGTTCTGTTTTTTGAAGCTGCAGATTTGTTTGCAAAACCAGCTACAGTTTTATTTTTACTGCTCAAAGATCTGACTATTATTCTTTACTATCAGTTATTATAAATCACCATACTTTGAAAGAAACTGCAGAAATGGCCAGCATCTGTTATAGTATGTTTGAAGGATCTTAAGAGGCGGGACAAAGAGATGCTGCCTAGGGAATAGTCAGATAAGTGACAGCATGGTGGGTGGGGCAAGAGGCTCAGAAGGATCCTCCCTAAGTTCTTGGGTTGAAAAGGTGACAGTGGGAGAATTAGGCTTTCAGACATGCAGGGTTCTGTTAATGTAGCTTTACAATGAAGTAGAATTGGATTGTATAGGTCAGGGGTAGGCAACCTTGGCTCTCTTGCAAAATTAGTCCACCTGGAAGGAAGACCCTTGCCGGGGGACTTTGCAAAAATTACCATGTCAGACAGTGGAGCAAGGAAGGGAGAAAACTCCCCGGAAAGGGAGCCGCTGCCCCGGCTGAAACCCTGCCAGCTGTCGGGATCTGAGAGGTCAGAATCCTCAGGAGAAGAGGTGGTGGAGACACGGGACCACAAATCTCGGTGGTCAATGGACGTTGGAAAGAAAGGCGAGTGGGGAAAGAAATCAAGAAAGGTGACTCTGAGACGGGGGCCCAAACAACCAGAATGGAAGCAGGAGATGGAGAAATCCCTGCACGCAAGTAAAGAGGAAGGGAGCTGGGCACCGTACTCGGGCTGGATCCTAGAGAAAGCAATCGACCTAATGAAGCGAACTCTCAGCTCCCTAGGAGAGGAGAATCCTGAGCCCTACGCCCGCCCCAGCTCCTGGAGCCGCAAAGGGAGAGACACTGAAGGGGAAGTGGAACCTGCAGCCCCGGGGACATCTGCTGATCCAGTAGTCCCCACTCTCCGCCGAACCACAGATGGGGTGTGGCTAATGGGGGATCCCTTAAAACCTTGAATGGGAGAGCTTGGACCCAAGTCCTGTCTAGAACGCCTGCATCCAGCTTTCTCTTAATAAAGATGCCTGTTGGAAGAAATATTCCAGGAGTTCTGTCTTCTTAAGATGCAAAGTGGGGTGGGTCCTTACATTATAAAAGAGCCAAGGTTGCCTACACCTGGTATAGGTTCTCCTGCTTGAGCAGGGGGCTGGACTAGAAGGCCTCCAAGGTCCCTTCCAGCTCTATTCTATTCTATTTGCCATTTGGTCTACCTGATATGGCTGACTGCACCTATGACCTTTGCTTTGTATTCCTCACATAAGCAGAGGCAGAACATAATGCGTAGGGGGCTTATATTGATAGGCATGAAGTCTTCAGTAAATGTCAGAATCCTCTGAACCAGCCCTAAATTGCATTAGGATAGGTCACAAGTTAGAGGAGACCTGCTGAAAAATGGAAGAAAAAGACCATTTTTTTGGATTAGCTGAAAGAGCATTGCACATTTTCTCCTCATTCTCTTCCTGAAGATATTCTTGCATATTATAACGGCAAAGCTGGATTGCCAAAGAAACCCACATAGATTGGCCCTGATGGGGGGAAATTAAATAGAGAGGGGAGAAAACGGGGGAGGGGGGGTGCTATGTCTGCTGCAAATACTGTAAGTGCCTCTGAAAAACAAAGATAATGTTCCTCTTACAGAAAATAAGCTGCTTTTCTGTTTCCTATTATATTCTGATTAATAGCTGGGGTTCAGAAAAAGGTCACTGAGTCAGTTCACATGTTTTATCCTTTCCTACCACAAAGCACGTAAAGCAAGAAATATTTACTATTTGCTAAATCTGCATGAATGTCTTCCTGGTTTTAATAATCAGAAACATTTATCGTATTAATGAAATTGGTTTAGGATGCAGGAGTATAATGGTGTACTTTGGTGGCATGTATAAAATATAAGCAAATAGCAGAAGTTGCTATTACATATAAGATTCACCAGCACAAGTTTTCTCCGGGATTAACAATGATGGAGTTATGGTCCTAAGAGCATAAGATGATCACTGTATTTAAACCAGCTCTATAGTTTTTCACATAGTGTTAGCTGTCACATTAGAAATGATTTGTTCAGAATGTGGATGAGATACTTTTCATTGTTCCATAACTGTCACTTTTCCTGGGCTGAGGAGAGTTCTGTAAACACATGAAGTCTCCATCTCCTTATTGAAAAACAATTGTCTGCGAATACCAGGACAGCCAGAAGAATACTTTGAGATCCTTTTAAATTTAGGGTTTGAATTTAGGAGTCTAGACTGGGAATCTGGGAAGATATTGCCAGAACTTAGATAATGAAATTGTAGACAAGAATAAAATTAGGAAGAGTCCAATCTGTTTTAGCCAATATCATATTTGAAGCTTTCACATTCACCAGTCTGGTGGCTTTGTCAGACATAAAGCCATAAAGTCAAATGGGACATGAATCCTAGAAGATATTAAGGAAGACAGCTGCAAGCAGATTTGTTCCAATGGGGCTCCACAGTGGCCTTAATGTTCCAATCAGAATA